GACATGTACTCATCTACCTAGAAAATTCAACTTGAAAACCTGAATCCAATGAATAGAACATTATGTACAAAGGCTGTTGTATAATTTTTCATTTATATTCCTATGGTAACCATGATTTCTGAAAAATATACAGCTAAAATATATAATTCCTTTTAAACAGATACTTACTTACTTCTGTTATATGCAAATACAAACACATATGCCAATGGACTCTGAAGTGAAATACATCACTTAAAACTAGGAACTATATTCTAATTCTTTTTGGTGTTTTGTTGTATTACCATTCATCCTTTCAAATGAATCTAGCTATTAAGTTTGGAGCTCCACTTATCTTCACATTTAAACATGCACAGATTGTTAAAGCCAATAAGGGTGGGAGTACTAAAGGAGTAGAATAGGAAACAAGAATGTAATGATAAAAACTAAGAGCTGCTGGTGAATGTGTGCCTTTTGATAAATGCTCTCACTGAGAAGTCACAATCTGTCCTATTGGCTTTACATAATGCTTGTGTTCATCCATTTATATAAAGGGCAAGAAAGGCTGTACAAAATATAACTATATATTTATGAGATTTGAGGACCTTAAGAGGTCCTTGTATCTGTGAGAGTTCAGTTAGAACAACAGATGAAATTGGAGACAGATGTTAAGAGACCTGTTGTGGGAAACTAGCTTTTGTAGCTGGAAAGCTGGCTAGGCAAAGGTAAAGTCCACAGGAAGGCCATGAGCAAAGGCACATCAAGCCACTGAGTCAAACCTACGTGGATCATCAGGAGCATCTTTCTGATTTAAAGTCAACTCATCTTTCTTTCTTTTTTTATTTTTTATTTTTTGTTTGCTTTTCAAGTATGAGTGTTTGCCTCAGGATGAGGGTACACCTTGAGGCCAGAAGAGGATATCAGATCCCCTGGAGCCAGAGGTACAAGCAATTATGAGCCACCCTACATGGGTGCTGGAAACCAAGTTCAGGTCTTCAGCAACAGCAGCTAGCACTCTTAACTGTTGAGCCATCCTCCAACCCCAAGTCAAATGATCTTTAACTATTAGTGACATTTATTGAGCCAACAAAATACCTTCATAACACCTCGGTTGATGTTCAGTTAAAAACCCCAAACTGTAACCTTGCCAAAAACACATCACTGTCTCTAAACCCTTTCAAATAGTCTATAGATCAACACCTTTCCAACAATGTATGAGGCTAGATTTTCCTTCATAGACCAACCAAAGCAATGTAAGAACACAATGGATAAAGTCTGTAAGCAGACATGAGAATCCAGAAAATCTCCATCCGAACACTAAAGAAGTTGTTTTAATTCTCATAATTTTTTTGTTATATAAAATAGTTACATGTGATAAAATGCACCATATATGTTAGTATAAAGTGGATATATTTTTATTTTAAAAGAAGTAAAAATCATTACTTTAAAATTTCTAACTTCAAGTCTCTCTTCAAGGAAATATAATTATACAATCCACATAAACAAATCATTGAGTCCTAAACAATTTTGAAGGGTATAAAAGATCCCCGAGTCACCAAATAGTCTGAGAACTGCTGTCCTTTATAAATAGAATGAATATATTCCCAACAGCCCAGTAGTTCTCCTTTCATTTGACATTAATCATTATAGATGCCATCTACTTCACAGCATAAACAATGCAAAAAATTGTCCATACTTTATGAATATCACAATTAATCTCTTTTCCCTCATGCATTAATTTGAACAAATTGTTTCCCAAAGAATCCCAAGCTCTTTTTTGTAACCTCCTGATTATGTGACCTGATTCTAGAAAATACCTATTTAAATTTTGGCTATAAACACATTCCATATCAGTATTCAGTATTTTTATTCTGAAACTTATTTTATGCAAATTCTAGTAAGTTATTCATGATAATTTACATACACAATAGGCAAAATATTTATTTGGGGATATTTGATTCATGCTTTTGTATTCTGAAAATGAGCAAGCTGATGGGATGGGTAGGAAAGAGAACTGTGGCTGAAATAGAATCATCAGTTTCTTCTTTATCAGTCACCTTTTGCCTAATTGAAAAATTCGGAGCAAAGTCATAGGAAGACCAAAATTGTGAATTAAAAAAAAAAAAAAGTGACCAAAATATGGTACAGACTTGATTGGCTTTGCTCAGTAATGGATAGATTGTGACCTGAGAATGAAAGATGAAATAAGCCCTTCTCTCCCCAGATTGATTTTGGTCAATGTTTTTTCACAGTAAAAGGAAACAAATTAAGACAGAACATACTCCTTTTATCTAGAAACTTCAATATAGTGGCAGAAAATGTAGCCTACTGAAGGAGGCCAGGTAAGGCATAGTGATAACTATAGCCTGCCCAAAGTTATTATCATTATTTAATAGTGGCATGCTCTTGATTTGTGAGACTAGATTCCTTTTTTTTTTTTTTTTTTTTTTTTTGGCATTTGGAGCCATCTTCCATAAAATATGTGAGTCTGCATTATAATGAGAAATCTCCCAACATCTAAGCACTCCCAATTAATTTAAAATTGAAGCCCATGCCAATTAAACAAAATATGTCAATAGGTCAGTAACCTCATGTGACATCTGATATAGGAACATTGACTTTTACACAAATTAGTAAATGGCAAAGGACCAAGAAATTCATCATATGCTAAGGTAGCCTACAGTTGCTGTTGGCTTGGGCTGACCCTTTTCATGGCCATAAACACTGTATAGCATGAAGAGTTTTCATTATTTTTTCTCTTCACTTACAAAAATTATCTCACAAATCAAATTAATTGGTATAGGCCTGTACTGAGACTTCAAATTCCTTCAAGATGGATGCATGTTTAAGCTTGCTTAGCATCTTTCTGGATAAAAAGACACAACTAGCCTGGAAAAGGACCATAAACTTATGTCATTTACTCAACAAATCAGGGCTTCAGTGTCCTGTTCCATCACCTTAGAAGTTCAGGATAAAGTTTGGGCAGGGATCTCAACTTCAACACTATTAGCATTTTGGGTCCAATCATGCTTTGTGGTGGAAGGTTACCCTGTGCTTTGAAGTTGTGTTTGCCAATCCTTTCCTATGTGGTCTTAAGTAGACTTACCCACCTCCCTGAGTTCCAGCACCCCACTTATGATACAATGAACAGCAGATCATTAAATGACCTTCAGTATGAATATTCAGAAAGTAAACCAGACTTCTAAAAGAAGGGGACAGGAAAGAGATCTTAAAAGGACTCATATTTTGCAAATGGTACACTATAAAGTGCCAAGATCCCATCTTAAAATTCCAGATTCTCTGAATGTTCAGATGGGTTTTATGCTCTTAAGACTTTCTAGTTTATATTTTACAGCAATTTGGATTTTAGAAGCTGTTACTACTCTTGAAATTTTTACCTATGTCCAAATTTCTTCTTTGATGTCTGGAAAGATACATAATAATGTATAAACTTCACAATTACTAATCCAACTGTTTTAGTTCTCTCTCTCTCTCTGTTGCTGTAATAAACACCATGATTTAAAGCAGCTTAGAGAAGAGAAGGTTCTATTTGGCCTATACTTCAGGTTCCAGTCTGTCACTGAGGGAAGTCAGGACAAGAACTCAAGCAGGAACTGACATAGAAACCATTGAAGAACACTACTTACTGGCTCACTTGCTCACTGGCTTAGGTTCAGCTAGTTTTTGACAACCACTCAGACCTGCCTAGGGGTGGTACCACCCATAGTAGGCTGGACCCATCAATGTCAATCATCAGTCATGACAATCTCTCACAGACATGATTGTAGCTAGAGTTTCCTGCCTTGCCCACTGTCAGGACAAATCTCTGTCACCCGCCAGTCCCACAGCCACTCAGACCCAAACAAGTAAACACAGAGACTTATATTGCTTACAAACTATATGGCCGTGGCAGGCTTCTTGCTAACTGTTCTTATAGCTAAATTAATCCATTTCTATAAATCTATATCTTGCCATGTGGCTCGTGGCTTATCAGCATTTTCACATGCTGTTTGTCATGGCGGTGGCTGGCAGTGTCTCCTCCCACCTTCCTGTTCTCTCAATTCTCCTTTCTGTTAGTCCTGCCTATACTTCCTGCCTGGCCACTGGCCAATCAGTGTTTTATTTATTGACCAATCAGAGCATTTGACATACAGACCATCCCACAGCACATGATCACAGACCAATGTGATCTGGACAATTCCTCGATTGAGGTTCCCTCTTCCCCAGTGACTCTAGGTTAATAGAAGAACTAGCCAGTACCTCGGCAGTCATGGCATTAGATACTATTTGTTTCTTTCCACCTCTTTTGAGGCCCAAATTTGAAGATGTTCTCCTCTTTCTATCTTCAAGATAGGCTTGTTGACTGTCCTACTTTGTCTCTTCTTTATGGGTCCATCAATTGCTTTCCATCAAAATAACAACTGGCTTCTGACATTTACTCCATTTAGTTTGGCTACAGGCAACTCAGTAAGAGGATTATACATGAATTGTAGCTATCAGTCAAGCCATAAATAATCCTGAATTTTTTGTGATGTCTGAAGTATGATATATTAGTCCCACGCTTCATATTTGGTATAATCAAACAGTAATCAGTAAGAACTATGACTACTGCAAAATGAGACCTCTGAAGCTTTAAGAGCAAATTTATCACCCTCACACACATAAAAGTCACTGCAAAGAGTCTTTTCTTTCTTAAGGGCCCTTGAAACCCAGCAACTGAATTCCATTCCAGGCCTCCAAATGAGAGCAACAAGGTTATAATTGTCTCACACTTAACTACATGTTTTGCAAAACATAATAGGCAAAGTCATTTTTGTACCATGCACAGAGAATGAAACCCCTTATGAATTCCTATATGGCTGGCTCAATGATTGACAGAAAGGAGAAATGAATGCAAGAGCCTTCAGTGATGCTTCTCTATCCATGTGGTGCTCAGAGGAGAACACAGCCTTCACTGTTCTGGGCCTGGGCCCCACACTCACAGGCTTGCTATTCTTCTCCTTTACTCCTGGGCCTAGGGAGGCAGCTCCTTGTTGCCTTTTGTTTCATTGGTTATGGTTATTTCTTTCCTATGTCTCTTCTCTGAGTTACTGAATTGCTATTAGCTTAAGGCCTTGCCTTAACATAAACGGAGAGATGAAAGATGCCATAGAGAAGAGAAAAACTTCAGCCGTGCTTTACAACAGAAAATATACCACTCTCAAGGACTGTTTTCCATGGCTTCTAATGGAATCTGCTCAGTAGAGACATCGGCTTTGCTGGGGTAAGTAAAAGCATCCTGGCTTCCCAGATACAATGTAGGGATAATTGCCTCTTAGAATCCTGGATTCTAAGTTCCAAATCAAGCCCAAGGTATGATTATTTTTTAACACTGTGTTTAAAATTCATTTAGCTTGCTGGGCACACGATCCACATACCTTCTCAGATAGAACATTGTATTTTTCTGCTATTGATTTCATTATGATAAGCTGAAAGCTAATGCTGCTTCCTTGCCTGACAGAGCTTGCAGCTTGGCTGTGCCCTAACATGTTTTATAATAAATAATGTATCCTGCATTCATCCAGGGTAGCCTGGAGAAGCAGATGGAGTTAGAGGCTTATTCTCAAATAGAAAGAAACTACAGCTCGGAGGAAAAGAATGAGATCACTGTATGGCTTCTCAATTTCCTCAGGATAAACGGGGAGGCTGGCACCCTGGAGGGTTTCCAAATGATAGCTGGGAACTTTGGCTTTCCTCTGAGTTCAAAGGAGAAAGTTGTTGGTTTGTTGTTTTGTTTTTAAATGTGTTTACTCCTGATGGTTAGCTGTGCCCTCCAAGAAAAGCTTTGTGCACATAGGTATGTCTCTGGTAAGCACCCTCAAACAGATCTTCTTTGGAGTGTCATTTGGCTGGGGGTACCTGCATCTCTAACCACAAGGTAAAAGGTCAGTTTTGAAAGTTACATCTGCAGAAATGCATGTACACAGAAGGCACTTTTGCTGTAGGCTGCTTTCTAATTCTGACCACAGGAGTCAGAGTGGAGCTTGACTTCAGTCACCAACCTGGCACCTGTTTCTCTCTTCTCCCCCTGCTCCTCTGTTTCCAGACCTTGCGAATGTAGTCTGAGACCATGTAGAGTGTTATTCCATTAATATATGCGCTGTTACACTAAGCTATTAATCAGGCAAACCACAGATGTTGTTTTCTTTCCACACGTTCCTATTTAATTACCCTTAATAACACCGACAGAGCTTCTCAAATCATCGCCATCGATAGCTTTTTAAAACTGCATCGGATGACTTGTTTCCTTGGCTCTCTACTCATTAATGCTGGCTATCTACCTTGATGGGCTCCAGATCTCTTAGGTTTCCTGTGTATTTCTTGCAGAATGTAGCAGGTAACTGCACATAGGCATGGATTAATAGGCCCTTCACTGAAGGTTGAAAGCCACATGCTGAGCTTACAATCAAACCGTATTCTCCTCATGCTAAGAAGGGTGTTATCTTTTTGAGGCGTGTGGCATTAATAAATCTGTCCGAAGGAGGCTGCCACTCCAAAAGATCTGAGCTTGGAGGAAGCCAGGGGAGCTTGATGCGACTGTCTGCTTTAAACAGGGTGAAACTCAGGTCTAGAGAAATGAGCTCTGGGTTGCTGAAACAAAATGCAGGAGCTTGAGGTTTGTGGTCCTAAACTCAGGGTTGGGTCTACTGACTGGTAGTTCTCCACAGCACCTACCACTTGAGAAGAAGAAAAAAAAGTGCCCTATTTGACTCAAGCAGCTCATGCAGGCTGGATTTCCTGTGACTGGCTTTATCTACCCACTCTCCTAAAAGGAAAACTTGAATAGACATTCATAAGTCATGCAGTAAATCTAGAGAGTTCTATGTTTGATGATTATTAGGAAATTCTCCTTTTTCAGTGACATTTGCTTCTAAAGAGCTAAAACTTACGGAGCTAATTTACCCTTCTCAGATTTTCATTTATTTGTTTTTCTACATTGCACACTTTAATTAAAGGATTGAGTAAAGTCAGCTGTCATAGCCTAGGCCTTTCATCCCAACACTCAGGAAGTGAAAGCAGAGGATTGCAATTCCAGGCCACCCTTAGCTTCATGAGAAGTTTCGTACCAGCCTGAGATACATATTAACTCTGTCTCAAAACAGCAAAAGGAAAGAGAGGGTGGTTTAATAAGGAGTAAACAGTAAGCATAGCAGTAGTGTGGATTGATATCAAAAGTATGAGAATCAAGCTTGGATTTGAATCCTAATTTAACTTCTTAAAAATTGTGTGACCTTAGGGAAATTACTCAGCCTCTCAAATTTAGAGGCAGGGGGAAGGGGATCATCTACTCTGATGCAATGGTCTACAGAGACCCTTAATAAATTATTGCTATCATCATCATCATCATCAAGTGGAAACAAATGACAAAAAAAAAATGTTATTTTAACATTTTTCCTTCTATTTTAATATGTCACAGGACACCTTAATATCTAGAGAAAGAGAGCCTTTATTTTCAGTTCTGGGTGTTTAGGTCATTGTGGCCTGCTGAAATTTTCACATACGTGTTGTCTTTTGTTCTTATCCTCCAACCCCCAAGTGAGCTTAGGCCAGTGGTTTTTGAAATGTAGTTTCTGGTTCAGCTGTTCCAGAAGAACTCGACAACCTGTTAGAAATGCATCATCCCAGGCCCTGTACTCAGACACACTAAAACTCAGGATAACTCAAGGTCTGTTTTGAACAAGGCTTCAGATGAGACTGGTGGTCTCTTGAGTTCAGAATGGCAACCTGAAGAAATCTGCCCGGCCACTTAATGAACTTCTGTAGTCCTCAAAGTGAGGGCAGAAGACATCAGAACACCCTGGGTGAGACAATGATGACCAGATGACACTCGAATGTGTCATTTAACACCTCACTTAGACAATAAATGTTCTCTCTCTTCATCCTAGTTGAATTCTGAAGTGTCCATTGGATGTTACTAGCTTCAGTTGGCTCCATAACCATGGCTAATCTCTTAAACACAGAGCGGGTACAAATCCTGTGTCCTAAGGAAGCAGCTGGGTCTTCCCAATTTAATGACATCCTGTTTAAGTTCTCATCATGGCACTCTTACAGGCTAACTTTAAGATCTATCTGTTGTATTTATATTACTTATATACAGAAAGAAGTAAGACTAAGACGATTAAAATACTGTATGAGTGATATGGGTGTTGTGTGCATTTGAATGCTGATGCATTGAAAAAAGCCTGATTACATTGGTACCACGTGAACCCTTTATTAACTGTGCAATTCATATTCTTCCTCCTCCTCCTCTCTCTCTCTCTCTCTCTCTCTCTCTCTCTCTCTCTCTCTCTCTCTCTCTGTGTGTGTGTGTGTGTGTGTGTGTGTGTGTGTGTGTGTG